TGTATTTTTAGTGGAGACAGGGTTTCACCATGTTAGTCAGGATGGTCTTGATCTCCTGAGCTCGTGATCCGCCGGCCTCAGCCTCCCAAAGTGCTGGGATTACAGGCATGAGCCACCGCTCCCGGCCTCTCTCTCTTTTTTTTTGAGACAGAATTTTGCTATTGTTGCCCAGGCTGGAGTGCAGTGGCGCGATCTCAGCTCACTGCAACCTCCGCCTCTCGGGTTCAAGTGATTCTCCTGCCTCAGCCTCCTGAGTAGCTGGTGTTACAGGCGCCCACCACCACGTCGGGCAAATTTTTTACATTTTTAGTAGAAACGGGGTTTCACCATGTTGGTCAGACTGGTCTGAAACTCCTGACCTCCTGATCTGCCCACGTTGGCCTCCCAAGGTGCTGGGATTACAGGCATGAGCCACCGCGCCCAGCCAGGTTCATGTTCTTAAGCGGCACACTATTTGCTATGGCAGCAAGACCAAAAGGCTTAAGTACCAAAAATGTACATTAACTACAAACAGTTTCATATAAACAAAACAATGTGACCATCTATATGTGACAGTAACTCATATGCCCAAACTATTTTTAACTGAAATTGAAATCAGTTTCTACATAACAAATGTTATCACTGTATTCTCAGATGATACGTTATTTGTATATAAATACTATAAATAACAATGTATTTAAATTATTCAACAAATAATTCTTTGGAATCTACAAAATGCTGGTTTCTGTTATAGACACTGAATGTAGAATTGATAGAAAATATAGTATCTGTTCTTAGAGAGTAGTAGATTTAAAAAATGCAAAACATATTGGGTAGAGGTTGTACTGCTAAAAACAGGCAGAGGCTGAGTTGCTAATACAAAAATCAGAAAACCCAGTGTGATTATTTTTAATAGTTGTTGATATTTTAATACAGGTCTCATGTTTTTTTCTTGTGGAAATGTATTACAATATGGAATTTCTGGGTGTTTGGTATCTGAATGTTTGTAACAGGTATAACCAGTTTTCCGAAGACATTTTATCAGTTTGCTTGTCCACATCAGTGACTCATAAGATATTACGTGTAACCATGTCCTCTCCAACAACATCTAGTATCAGTCTTTGTAAAGTTTGTCAAGTAACTGGGTGTAGGTGTTGCAGGTGATTATTATATTATTAAAGAATAGTAGAATACCTAGCTTTAAAAAAGCAGGGCATGCAGAGGCACATGTTTAGCGTGTGTCCTGATCCCAGAATTAAAACTAATCCAATTTGTGCTTCCACTGTTCAATAAAAAATTTCCTTGGCTGGGCGTGGTGGCTCAAGCCTGTAATCCCAGCACCTTGGGAGGCTGAGGCGGGTGGATCACGAGGTCAGCAAATCGAGACCATCCTGGCTAACACGGTGAAACCCCATCTCTACAAAAATACAAAGAATTAGCCAGGCGCAGTGGCAGGTGCCTGTGGTCCCAGCTACTCGGGAGACTGAGGCAGGAGAATGGCGTGAACCCGGGAGGCGGATCTTGCAGTGAGCCGAGATCGTGCCACTGC